GGGGGGGGGGGGGGGGGGGGGGGGGGGGGGGGGGGGGGGGGCTTGTGTTGGAGGCAGCCTGCAGAGCAGGGCATTTTTTTCGAAAGCTCTCCTCCCTCCACTCACATCTTTTCTGCTCCCACCAGCAAGGTTCACCGCCGCAGCCCGCGCGAAAGTCGTCTCTCACAGCCGCTCCTGTAATTGCCGTGCTACTTGTCATGGCTGATGCGAGCTTGTTGGCTGGCTGATCGAGCCAACGGTCCCACGTTCCCTCCTATCCTGTCTGAAGTCCCTGTGAAATGACACCGTAAAGTCCTCCATCAAGCGCCTCCAAGATCGAGCAGCGCCCAAGATTCAGTCGTCGCAGCACAACACAATCGTGCTCGCTGGTGTGTGAGAGCCCGATCCTCCCCGCGGTGAAGGTGGAGATGCATGCCTTGGCAGAGCTATTATTTCAAGGGATGGACTTGCCAGCCGGTTGCGAGGTGTGATCGATCAGGTGAGAAAAAGATACGGCCATCATGAACGTACCACTGAAGCCTCTTTGCGTGGTGCTCTCCCAACTCTCGCCTTCCCGTTTCGATGAACTACGCATGACCTCGAGAAGAGATAGGCTGTTGTTACTTTTCACCGCTAGCTGTCCCCTCTATTCCTTGGGGGGAAAGGGCGAGTTCGTCACGAGAGCTCGTCCTCTCAAGATCTCAAAACATGAAAAGAAGCAGGGAAGCTGGACATGGCTTGGACCCACCCTTTGATATATTGCAATCCCTCGAAGCACATTGTGCGGCTGCATCTTTTCATCTCGGGCATGGATCGCTGTCGGCCACTTTGTTCTACAGTTGGGCTTCGTGCTCGGTTTTGAGACGGTGCTTTGTGGGTGTCGCAACGGAAGGCACGCCAAACAGATGCTGCGCTGAAAACAATTCAAACGCAGCAGCAGCTCTTGCTGCCCCCGTGACGGGCGGACCATTTGCGCTCGATTGGCGCGCTTTTCTTCAGCAAGCCGTCTACCCGCCGACCCTGTGCATCGGCGGTAGTGGGATAAGCGGTTAGTCTAGGCTAGACTATACCCCCGTCGTGTGCAATGCTGACCTTGTCCTGATATCAATCGAGTGATAGAGGGGTGATCGTCGGCAGCTTTTGTAGGCGCGACCTGGTCAACCCGTCGAAATTTTCACCTCTTCTTGTTGATTGTTGTTTGCCAGCCAATTTTTCACTAAAAGGACCAAAATCCATCCCACCAGAAGCAATTTTACAATTTTAGACCCAGCATGTACTCCTGTAGTGTAGTGGAGAGTGAGGCTCTTCTCCCCCCGTGAAAGACGATTTATTTGAGAGTGTCGTACCTTCACTGCCGCTCGCTGCTGTTCGGTTTACTGTAGACGCTGATTCGCGATCACTCCGCTTGTCTTTCCTCTTTTCTCGTCTCGGATGACACAGGCACGCAAGCAACTCATTCCAAGCCCTGGCGGCTTACGTTTCTACGGTATACACACACGCAGGACGAGCACCAACCGCCCGTTCCTTGGCCCCCTCTCTCTGGTTCGCCGTTCGTTCTCTTGGTGAGCGCCCAGCCGCATCTTTACGAGCTATACAGCGTAGGTCACGTATGTTGGCTGCTGGGCCGTATCCACTCTCTCAGCCGAGACAGAACGTAAAACAGGAAAAATTGATTCAAGAAAATAGGATGCACAATGTGTGTGTACAGGAAAGAGCAAGATCCGTGACGAGTCCAGATCGTCGTAGATCCCGGGCTGATAGGACTGTTCTGTTCGGGTGTTTCTCTGTGCGTCTGCCCTCAGCAAACTGAACTACTTCTGTGAAACTCATGGCGCGCTACATAGCATAGGAGAGACCAGGCATGTAGGTCATGTTGCCCATAAACGAATTGTACACCCACCTACTCTTGTTCAAGGCGACCGCAGAAACAGGGACTCAGAATGAACTATTGTACTGATGCTGCATGGCCGTAAGAGGGCCGTGTGTGTCTGGCGGAAAGACTTTCAAGAACTGAAGATTGTATTTCGCCGCATCATCTCTCTGCTGCCTGTGGTGGTCGTAGATATACCCACGTGAATTTCTTGTTCACTGTTTGCAGGTCACCTTCAGCCCACGACACGACAAACCAGCACCGAGGTGCTGCACCGGCAGTGGTAGTTTCAGAAGACTCCGTTCCCTACTTGTTATGTAAGAAGGGTAGCATGGCGATTTTGAACTTGCAACGCTGGAGCGTTGAAAGCGAGTCCGCCAGCACCCAAATTCTGCACAGGTCGTCTGGTCGTGCGAGCGATCGAAATCTACGAAATGTCCGTTGTGCCGCATGATCATCATATCATCATTATCCCCAAGTCTATCAAGGAAGCAAATTCGTATCCGCAAGCGATATCTACGTGCCGATGTAGACATACATGTAGACTGCTGTACATGTTGTCAAGCCTTGAGTTTCTCCGCTTCTTGAACAACACACCCTGCTAAGAAGCACTCGTTTGTCATCTTCAACTTGCTGCCCCACCACCCTTCTTGCTTGGGATGCTCCAAGTACATGCCAACATGTTTCGACCCTTGATCGTACAGCAGTAGCCGTGGAGCCACAAGAACTCAGCTCCTGCATTACGAATGGTAACAGCATGTCGCCAATAATTCCAGCCGCAGGAACGGAAGTAGAGACCGCAGCAGCTGCAGCAGCAACAAAAACAGCAGCAGCAGCAACAGCAACAGCAGCAGCAGCAGCAGCAGCAGCAGCTGGACTGGCTGCGAATTGCAACGCATCTTCGATCATTTTCTCGCTGTGAGGCTGTCTGGTGGTTGTGTTGATTCCCTCATCATGTGCATGTATATCGCCTGGCTGCTTCATAACCTTGTGCAGGGAAATTAGCCAAAGCAAGCATTTGCTTGCGTTTTGGCTGACCCAGGATGTCTACACGAACGGAACCAACCAAACCTGTAGTAATTAGATCGCATATGCATATAGCACCCCCTACAAAAATAGCTGCATGTGAATTTATCTCCCTCTGTGTTGGTGTCACTCTGTGTTCATCACAGACAGGTCTCGAAGATCTACGGGGCAACGAAGCCATCCTGAAACACCGTATCGCCGAAGAGTCGACGGTGTCCGACTCCAACCATCGGTACGAGAAAGCAACGAGGAAGATTGGTCGGCAGGGAAGATAGACAAGGACAACATGAGACTTCGACTTCAAACAAAGGCGAGTGAAAATAACGAAGTAAGCCCCCGGTCAACCTATAGGAACCACCAAACGGGGAATTTCCTTCTGCTCGCACGTAGAACGGGTTCAGCAGCAAGCACGAGTACCTACATTAGCTGTCCCGCCCTCCTAATTATTTGTCAACTGCTTCGTGAGTTGGCTCTACAACTCATTCATCATGTGTAGCACGTCGCATACATTCCGTTAGCCAGAATCTAAAACACGGAGTGAGAGGTGTATAGTCTAGTCTCGAGAGCAGAGACTCTAACAGCAAAACTAGGTTCCACTCAACTTCGTGTATGCGTCGTAGACTATCTCTTTGACTGATTCATAAAAAAAAAGACTGGTACGTGGGACTTGACCGTAATGCAGCCAAAGACGAAAATAAAGGTTCCCATCATCCAACATCTTCAGCACAAAATTCTCGTCGATCATCACGTAAGATCAAATGGCCCAGAAGATCATGGCCCGACAGGACCTGACAGCAAAGAGTCGCGTGCTAGCAAGACGCCACACCAAGAAATCCTGCCCTTCCAACCAGTGGGTCAAGGCAACGTGACCGCAAGGTAACGCGGCCGAAGAAATCGCGGCCTCACACATCGTTGCCGAAGAAATCGTGGCCTACGAGAACAGTCTCCCAAGGGACATTTTGGCCAACGAAAACCGTGGCCTGTATTGCGGGAAGGGAAAACGAGCGTGGTTGGAGGTGGCCTTCGAAATCGTGGCCGAAGAAATCGTGGCCCAAGGCAACGTGTCCCCAAGATAACGTGNCCTACAGCAGTATGTCCCCTCGACCGACCCCTAAGGAGAGGTCTTGCCTTAACTCAGCCCAACCAAGTGATGACAGAGGACAACAAGCTTTGGTGAGCAACAGAAGGCAAATATCACTAAACAGACTCACGGAGCGGATTTAGAGCGTCGTTGGAGACTTGGTCATGTCGAACCCTTATGTGGCGTGCGTAGTAGTCGGGTATCTCGGCTGGTTTGTGATAAATTGCGGGAAGGGAAAACGAACGTGATTGAAACGTGGCCGAAGAAATCGTGGCCTCACACATCGTGGCCAAAGAAACCGTGGCCTATATTGCGGGAAGGGAAAACGAGCGTGGTTGGACGTGGCCTTCGAAATCGTGGCCGAAGAAATCGTGGCCCAAGGCAACGTGTCCCCAAGATAACGTGGCCGAAGAAATCGTGGCCTACGAAAACGTGATCCCAAGAGAAATCCCGGCCAGGGAAATCGTGGCCTACGGGAACATGACCCCAGTCAACTGTGGCCAAAGAAAATGACGTGGCCTCAGAATACCACTACAACAGGAGGAAAGCAATTCGAACGGGGACCACTGAACTGGTGATGTATGTCCGACAAGGCCTGCTACTCATAGCCGATGAGGAGCTTGTCTACTCGGTCATAGAGAGCTTGACTGAGTGACTGCTTAACCGAACCAGAGTTTTGGACGAGCAGCCTACGTAGGTAGGCGGCCCGACTCAAGCGACAGTTCAACCAAGCGATAGCTTTAACTTAGCGACCTACGGGCAAGGAGAACGTGCTCGGCATGTGGCAGTGAAGACCACGCCTCCTTTTCTGCAGACAGCTAGACCAAAGCGACGGCTGGACCTAGCGGTTGTTTAACGTTGCGACTTGTATCCTTGAAGGCGTGCTTCTTACGGCCGTGAGGAGCGCACCGGCTTGGTTACCGAGCGCTCTGTTTTTTCGGCAGCTTAGCCTAGCGATAGCTCGACCAAGTGCTAGAGCATGCCCAGGAAGGCATGATCTTTGCGACAGGCAGCGAAGAGCATGCTTTACGGGGGGTGGAAAGCCCAACCAAGTGACACGGCTAGACCTGGCGGGATCTCTGTCTAGCCGCCTGTGTTCATGAAGGCGCGCGAGTCATGGCAGTGATGAGCGCTTCCCTTCGTGCTCATAGACAGCAAGATCTAGTGACCAATAAACCTAGCGATAGCTTGACCTAGTGACTTGCATCCAAAGGGCCATGGTCTTCAGGGCCGGTGAAGATCATGTCAGTTTGGGTACAGACAGCTCGACTAAGCGACGGTGCGATTTCTTGATCTATCGACTTGCTTCCAAGAGGACATGTTGTTTACGGCCGTGAACAGCGCGCCTTCTTGGTTGCAGACCGCAAAGTTGAGCGATTGCTACAGTTTAGCGATAACTTGACCGACATGGTCGTTCGTCCTAGATGAACAACCAGACGTTCATTGTGCAACCGCGAGAATTGCATCCGCGTAGCTTATGGAGGTCACGAAGAAGTAGAGTGGGTGGGGGCGCGTAGACTATTCATTGCACTACACCTCTGGTGTGAAACGTTTGGAGAGAGGAAGCCTACACAACACACAAATAGCACTATGGCTGAGGGGTGGCCCCCGGAGCTGCCTTAAACAACCAACACGCCTACAGCAGTATGTCCCCTCGACCGACCCCTAAGGAGAGGTCTTGCCTTAACTCAGCCCAACCAAGTGATGACAGAGGACAACAAGCTTTGGTGAGCAACAGAAGGCAAATATCACTAAACAGACTCACGGAGCGGATTTAGAGCGTCGTTGGAGACTTGGTCATGTCGAACCCTTATGTGGCGTGCGTAGTAGTCGGGTATCTCGGCTGGTTTGTGATAAATTGCGGGAAGGGAAAACGAACGTGATTGAAACGTGGCCGAAGAAATCGTGGCCTCACACATCGTGGCCAAAGAAACCGTGGCCTATATTGCGGGAAGGGAAAACGAGCGTGGTTGGACGTGGCCTTCGAAATCGTGGCCGAAGAAATCGTGGCCCAAGGCAACGTGTCCCCAAGATAACGTGGCCGAAGAAATCGTGGCCTACGAAAACGTGATCCCAAGAGAAATCCCGGCCAGGGAAATCGTGGCCTACGGGAACATGACCCCAGTCAACTGTGGCCAAAGAAAATGACGTGGCCTCAGAATACCACTACAACAGGAGGAAAGCAATTCGAACGGGGACCACTGAACTGGTGATGTATGTCCGACAAGGCCTGCTACTCATAGCCGATGAGGAGCTTGTCTACTCGGTCATAGAGAGCTTGACTGAGTGACTGCTTAACCGAACCAGAGTTTTGGACGAGCAGCCTACGTAGGTAGGCGGCCCGACTCAAGCGACAGTTCAACCAAGCGATAGCTTTAACTTAGCGACCTACGGGCAAGGAGAACGTGCTCGGCATGTGGCAGTGAAGACCACGCCTCCTTTTCTGCAGACAGCTAGACCAAAGCGACGGCTGGACCTAGCGGTTGTTTAACGTTGCGACTTGTATCCTTGAAGGCGTGCTTCTTACGGCCGTGAGGAGCGCACCGGCTTGGTTACCGAGCGCTCTGTTTTTTCGGCAGCTTAGCCTAGCGATAGCTCGACCAAGTGCTAGAGCATGCCCAGGAAGGCATGATCTTTGCGACAGGCAGCGAAGAGCATGCTTTACGGGGGTAGGAAAGCCCAACCAGGTGACACGGTTAGACCTGGCGGGATCTCTATCTAGCCGCCTGTGTTCATGAAGGCGCGCGAGTCATGGCAGTGATGCACGCTCAGCACGTCATGGCATATCGTTGTCGGCGATCGCCGTTCGTGACTGGAGGGGATCTTTGAATATCGTGTCCTTCTAACACGTGATGCGAGATAGTTCGGCCTGACAGAAGATGACTCCAAGAAATTGAGGCTTCCGAGAACGTGACCCAACACATTTTGGCCCAGGAATGCATAACCCACGAGTGTACCCCAAGTATATGACGGCCCAGTGAATCGTGGGCTACGGGAACAGAACCCGAGTCATTGTAACCTTATATATCGTGGCCTTTAAAATCGCGGCCTAAGCGTGTTTGGCTCTACCTATTCTTCCTGGTTGTACCTGCACTACCCCGTGCTAAAAAGTCGTGTTTGTCTCGATTATGTAAGTGTTAACAGCAGCGGGGCGCAGCCGCGTTTCCCGACGCGGCCAGTGACCTCGTTCGCCTTTTTCTGCCTGTCGCTCGGCGCTGTTTCTGTTTCTCCTTGTTGGATATGGATCGTTTTTTTCTCTCTGCGTGTGCAGAGTCTCAGCTATCGCTGGAATTCGGCTTCACCACGTCACCCCGAGCGACACTTGCTGTGTCCAGCAGGGGATTCAACGGCGTGGCGTGAGGGGCGCATGAAAGAGACGAAGACGACAGGAGATGTGGTCTAGAGTGCCGCTCTGTTGCACAAGACCAAGACCAAGACCAAGACCACGTTCACTGTCAAGATCGACGTGTACTCTCAAGCCCGATATGTTATGACCAAGTCGATTTTTCCCGGCACCCCCGCCCCCCCCACAGACTATTTATAGGTTGATTCACTCGGACGTCTCTAGTCGGGGAGAGGGCGGGCGTAGTCAAGACCGGAAACGAACTTTTAGTCTCATTACTCAAGACCTGCGTCCCCATTCACTACATAGCTTGGCATACATTCGGGGTCGGCTAAGGGAGACGGGAGACAAAGAGATTGCCGTGGGTGCTGCGATGGACAGCTCGCTTCTTTGACGCCTGCAAGTCCAACCATGAAAGGTATCGGTTCTGTATCGTAGAGCGTTAAGCGTTGCGTGCGTTGTGGCCTGTGATCTTGTGATGTGCCAAGCCGAACGAATCTGACCACACACGCAGGGGACAAGAGCAGATCGGGGATCCAGATAACAGGTTGTCTCTCTCGCCTTTTCTGTGAGATTGCGGGACTGTTCGGCACGCCACCGACTGCCCAACCGCATTTTGCAGTGTGGAGGAAGCCTTATGGCGACAGGCACGCTTTTCAGCTGAGCCGTCGTCTGTACGGAAGAAAGAGGCTCCGTCTCTGGTGTGTACCCTTGTGCACCGCACCGCTCAATTCCCAGGGCATTGCCTGTCGAGTGCGATGTCCTCTTTTCTTTGAACCCGCTGAATTTTGTCTCCAGTGCTTGTTGACTTGGGTGCCGAGAAAAAGCTGAGAGAATAATATGAAGTGTTGAAGTTTTATCAAGAGCATGTGAGAGCGCGAAATATACAGTTCAGATAACAATCCGCTTCATGAGGCGACTGAGCTAAAAGCAACGATTCCAGGTGGCCCACAGGAGAGGCTATGCCCGAGAAGAAAGGGTCATTATTGCCTTTCCTCAGATGGCCCACGAGCTTCCAGCACAATACTGGTACAATGCTGGTGGACACCAACGATTGGCTCCCAGGGGCGATACACACAAGTAGGATGATCAGCATGCACAAGATCGACAGACAACTGATAACGTTTATACGTCAACAGGGCGCGTTGCGGTGGGAAACGACTAGCCGTAAGGAAACGAAATCTACGTGCCAACCATTCCTGCCCAATAGTTCACCGTGCGAATCAGCCTCCTTCCAGATATTCGTACGTGAAATGTAACACACTAAAACTTTGTGAGCTATTTCCGTATACCACTGATGGCTGCAAGGAACTTTTGTTTTCGTTTCAGTTTCGTTCACTGAGTAAGTACCTAGTGGTATCGTTCCTAACCTTGGCTGAGTGCAGTCTTCCGAGCAATCCCTCCCTAGGCGAGACCCCAAAACCGGTCAGACGACCCACTTTTCATGCAGACTTTCCGCCGGTAGTTCGACAAATGTACGCAGGGCGTGTTTTGTCTCAGATTGCGTGAATAAGGGACTGTATGCTGGAATCAGCGTTCACGAACTCCATCAGAGTGTCAGCGAAGTCCGATGCGGTGATATAATCCTGCGAAGTCCTCAAGCAGTGTTTCAGCGCGAAGAGACGGTTGGGGGGAGGGCATGGATGGCGTCAGGGCTCGCGTGAATCAAGCCCATGGTCTGCAGGTTTCTCGTTTCGCACTTCCAGAAAATTTTCCACGGAACAACGTGAAACTATTACTGAATGAAGCAATGACGAAAAAAAAATATGATTTCACGGAACCATGTTTGGAACATTATGTACGACAGCACGTCAGCGAAATCACAGTAGCTGGACAAGGTGACATGTGAAAGGACAAGGAAATCTCCCGTCTCCCCCTATGTTATCTTCACATAAATAAACATTCCGTTCTCTCTACCCAGTACCTTCTTCTGTCCGTACTAGACTAGCACTTGACGCGGTCTACTCTCCCGTGGTCACAGGTATACTCACCCAAAAAAGGTACACGAAAATGTAGGTAAGAATACATGTTACGAGCACATGTACTTGGTCTGGGTGTGCAGTGCGTTCTACTCCCTAGATGAAACCGACCTCTTCCGTTCTCCCCGACTGCGAAAACATGGGTATCACGTCCTCTTTCGTGAGGCCCACTATGTCGCCCATGGCCGTGGCCAATTCGCTCAGTGGCATCTCCCCATTTCCTTCCGTGTCGTAGCTGGCCACGTGTAGTCGTGCAGCGGGCGCGCAGAGAAACAAAGGCGCGTTGGAGTGAGTAAGTTGTTCCAGCGCTCATGCACACATACTTGTCGGACGGTTACACGTTGCGATGTATAGGAGCTGTCTTCAATACAAGTGATTGGTCTCTCTCCCTAGTGAACATTGGTGTTCTAGGACAGCGGGAACCCCGCTGCATGCAATATTGGGCTTTTTTTTACTACCCTGTGCTGCTTCCAAACAAACGAAAATTTTACAACATTCAGGCATTCGAAAGTGGGGGTAGTGGGGTGAGTGGTGATACTCGATCGGTGACCGGCTGTAGACCTCGAGGCAATCGCTGGGTCACCCACACGTCCAGAAAACACAGAAAAAATGACGAAACAGGGTTGGGTCTCACATACTAAAGAGCTCCGCCATCTCCAAACGCTCGGCGACGGCTAACTCCCGGTTCACTTTTCTCGCCGCTCCCTGTTGTGTAGTCTCCTCGCTTATCCACTCCAGCATCTTCGCCAGGTCCGCATCACCAGCGAATGGGTGAAGTTCACACAGAACTTCCACGATCGATATTTTCCCCTCTCGTTCCTGCGAAAAGGCCAGAAAAAAATCGGTTGTTTCTAGAGGGTTCATGTGCGGTATTCTTCAGGTGAAGCGGGGACGATTGAGGTGTTGCCCGCTTGTTTTATGAGGGCAGTCCGGGTGCGTGTGTACTACAGAGAGCAACCATCCTGTGAGGGTGCGGCAGCCCGTGTGCACCGAAAACGCATACTATTGCCAAACAGTTGAGTCTGTTGCTTTTGAGTTGGATGAAGAATTCCTCCGAAAGCGACATATTGCCGCGCGCTAAACGCTCTTGGGGGTCCACGTCAAGATACCCCTCTTGCTGTAAATGTACGCACCCGTTCGATGAAGAGGAAGGTGTCATCCGAGGCAGCCAGCGGGGTGTCTTCGGTCAGTCGCCGCCACTCTTCTTCGTCGACGTAGCCGCTGCCGTCCTTGTCAACGCTGTCGAACACCTTTCGGGTACCCATAAAGCGAACGCGAATAGCACCAAAATGAGATAAGCGGGGACGGTAAACCGGTATTGGCACTCCGCGTTTAGACTTGTTGCTCGACGGGCCGAACGTGAGTTGCCACCCTCTTGCACATTGTCTAGAAATACAAGACCCTCGACGTCTAGGTACTCCGAGAAATCGCACCTGAATACTTGTAACCCCACAAAGTACACTGGCTATCTCCATGGAAGCAAGAGCAAGGCTGTTGCTCACGGACAGTAGTCAAACATCCCACTAGCAATCACCACAAACCCGTGAACCTTACCTCCTTGATCTTCATAATGCTGGACCGCGCGAACCTGTTCCTGCCCTCCCTCGCTGCCGCCGCCGCTCTCTTCTTCTCTACGGCTACCGATGCTCGCTCCTGGGGCTTCTTCGTGAGTGCGGCTCGTTGAGCCGCCATAACGGCGTCGTCTTCTCCCAGGACCATCGCAGAAAGCGTTGCCCTGATCGGAGGGGTCGGTACCAAAGTTTTGTAAATAATCGTTCATTTCGCATCGTTCATGTCTGTAGGACGTGTGCACGCAGGTCTAGATGGCATGTGTTTCTCAACGACAGCTTCGAGAGACCATGAGTGAAATCGCGTACGGCCTGCTTTGGAAAGGAAGTCGCGGAACAGTGAGGTCCATTCACCGGGCCCCGTATCGTATGTGCAAGACAACCCTGCAGTGTCTCGGTTGAGTTGAAGAGGCAAGAACAATAATGTTCACAACAGGGCTAGCCATATTGTATTTAGCGTATGCTATACACAACGTCACACTAGTCGACGAACGTTGGAAGACCTGCATCGGCACATTTCCCGGTCGCCTAGATTGTAGGCGCTGCACGGTGGCCTACGTAACATAACCTCCTCCTCAGCATTTATAACTAAAACATCAACTAGAGTGAGGCAACTCAGCCCGCCGTTCATCCGGGTGTTTAGGGTAGTGTGCATGAATGTACTCTTATGTTTAGATGGAGGTTGTAGTTTTCGGCCTTTGAACAACCACGCACCTTGTTCCCGACGTCAGAGACTTCCGACAAACCCCTTTGCTAAAGTCAAGGGACTTCCCCAGAGCATGAACTTCGCGGGTCTTGGAACAGAAAGTTATCCACCTCGCGAACGGCAACTGCATGTAAAAACGAAACGCATCGAAGCGAGGGGTCAGACGGTGATGAACTCGTCGGACAGCGATATGCGATATTGCGCCACCGGCTGCCTCGAGCATTGGATGGACCCTAGATCGAGGTTTGTTGTTGGCGAAAAGTGTTTGCTTCAACATCCCATCTACTGTTCGGACAAGCCGCCCTTAACTTGAAGCAATCAGCCGGCCACAAAGTTTGAGGACGCATTGACACTCGAGCGTGTACCACACCTGTTGTTTTCTCGATCAGATATTGATTGGGGAGGTCATACCCTTTTCGGCTAACCCCGTCCTAGCGGTGCTTGGACAACGGAATTCATGTCGGGCATATTCTTGAATGCGGTGGACGAGACATGAAATCCAACGCGCACAACAAACTACCCTGTAACCTGAGCCTGGGGCTTTTGATCCAGTGGATCTGGTATCCACTCGATTTGATATTTGGCGTAAGGCAAGAAGAAATAGTTTAGATGTTAGTCCGTAAACATCGGAAATTTCAACTTCGATGAGAACGCTGCGTTCATCGACTTCGAAACACTTACCCGCTCTTCTTCATCGGTGTAGCCAAGTCGTACGATGTGTTGCCAGATAGCCTCGATATCAGAGATGTTTGGCAACACACCACCCGTTGATTTCGCTATTCCGTGTAACAGTGACCTGTAGGTGGCGAAGCAACAGGTGGGTTTCTACGGGCGTTTTTGAGAGAGGGGCAATTTCGGAAACGTGGGGACCTTTCGGTGGCCGAGTCTAGACAACAGGGGAGGTAAATTGAAGAGGCTTCAATGTCGTGCTTCGTGAAAGCGAAATCCGACGCTGGGCTGGCAGGGCGACTTCAAGCTTCACAGCCTCCAAATGACTCTGTAGGTATCCATTCCTCCGGGAAATTTTCGTCGGCGTGGTACCCTGGAGGGTATCCAAAGAATGAAAGTACCTATCCTATCTGCGCGTCGTCCTTCTAACATTGTAAAGCGCCGAACAGGTGCATCTACCACCAATGATGTTTCGACGAACCTGAGCATGACGATCGCCTCGGAGGAATTGAGCTTGCCGTCGACGTCGAGGTCGAACAGATCGAAAAGGTTTTTCACTTTCAATCGAGCGGGAATCTTCCCGTACATCGTCAACACGGCGAGCATCTGAAGTAAACAAAACAAGACATGCCGTGGTACACATGTATCACATATGCTGTACGGTGTGCGTGCATGATGTGTGGTACCTTCATCAGAACCTCACTTTTTATTCAGCTTCTCGAAAGCCGAGAAGCACGCGACCCCCCCTCGGTCGACGCAGGCAATCTAAGATTGCTACCCTGGTTCACCAATACTCATAAAATGGGCCGAGGACGACCAAGAAAGACTGCACACGCCGGAGCGAGATAGCTGAAAGCATAATCCATTTTCATCGTCGGAGCCATCTTAGCGGTGAGCGTTACTGGGGACTTGACGTGTACATGAATGTGTGCGAACAAGTATTTCCAATTCCATGGCGGGCAGTGTATTGCGGGGTTTCGATACCGGAGACTCTCTGCAAGAAAACTGGGTTCGCTCCAATGGGTGCAGCAGCAAGGAATATAGACTATATGCGGCCGACAGTACCTCGTAGACGTCGATTCGTCCATTTCCCTTGGTTTCCATGATGGCTACAACTAGATCGGCTTGGCTTCCACGCCCTTCTCCGAGCGCCTGAGCCACGTGTACAGCGTCTAGCCCAGGAGGAAGATCCATCGCCTTGGTCCTCGCTTCTACCGCCTGACGCGAACATAACCGATAGAACAGCACGTTTGCAACATCATGTACTGCTGTACATGCAGACTCGGGAGCTACGGGGTAGTTGTCTTGTAAACTACAGATGGTGCATGTGAAGCAGAAGACAGAGGCAATCACGACGAAGCGTATCTTCCTCTCTTGTTTTTTTAGTTGTGAAATCCACATGCTACAAGACCAGAAAAGTGCTTTGTTTTAGCAGAAACTGGTTGAAGAGGCGACTTTTCATATAAATGCAAAGCCTAACGTAGCGTCTGTGGGCAGACCTCGAGCATGCCGACGCCGACGACGTTGAATGTTTTCGCACCTCGAAAACGTGTTGTGTCGCACCGGCGAGCGATTTAACTACTGGTGGGGCGATCTCCAGCCCCACGCAACGTCGTATCATCTCGGTACTGCTGCCATTACCCATGGCAGCACGAATTAAGCAAGATGCTGTTCGTCGAAGGTCGTCCGGTGTCGGCAGTCTGTTCGTGTCTGTTTGTGAGGCTTATAAATCCGCGGTGCCCCTTTGCTGGGTCACCCCCCGCCAAGAACGCTATATTCCACGTTGTGTCACCCCCACCGCACACCGCCGCTGTGCTGTGCCGCTGTGCATTGTACGCACAAGCATAGGGATACAGGAAAGGGAGAGAGGATACGATGGCTGACGATGACATTGATCTTGATGCAATGCTCGACTCGGCGCTCGATGAGGGATTTGTTGACCCGCCTGAGGCTGGCGACGCCGAAGGCGACGGCGAGATCGATTTGGACGCCATGCTCGACGAGGCCATGGTAGCCTCTGCCCCTGGCGGTGCCGCGGCCAAGGAAGCAAGGTGCGTTCCATCTGCCATCTGTGATGGAAGTCAGCGCGGGTGGTGTTCTTGTTGCGATAGGCTACGGCTCGACCCTGTCTCCTAGGCGAGACACCACATTAGCCTATTGCAGATGCATTGGTGTTACTAGTGCACAGCTCAGATGCTCAGACCGTGCCGATTCTGTCCGACCCTAGAGTCTACACACGGCTGCGAACGTTAGTAAATCCCATCAGTGGGTCCGGGCGTAGAACAGCAGTAGCCAACACACCAGTCTGCCGTTGTAAAAGCAGTGGTCTATCGACGTAACTGCGTTGTTAATGTAGCGTGCGCATCATGTGCGGTGCAACTCTATGCAGCTCCTACCGTACAGCAGTGCACCTCGGCAACACGGCGGCGTCGTGTCGATGGTGTCATCGCACTGCTATGTTGTCGATCTACTCTACCAACTTCGACGCAATGTGGTTTCCGAGGGGGATATGCGTGCAAACTACATGCATGTTTCTACAACTGCTGTGCCTCCAATGATGTGGGTGTGGCGTACCATCATGTCCTCTTTTCTCTTTTCGTTCAGCAGTGTATCCAACACTTGGTGCTTTGCGACACCCACGAGCCCCTTCGGTCCCGTGTGTATTCTACATTCATAGATCATCTCCCCACCTCCCAAAGGGAGCCTCTGCGAAATGTTTACAAGTAGACGGTGCGGCCTTTATTGACTCCCGCCCTTCCCTAATTCCGGTCCCAGCAGGGCCAGCAGCGACTTCGGCCCTTCACAACAGTGGCTGCAGCGCAAGCAAGGGGGCAGTGGGAATGGAACAGCGGGGGGCACGAGGGACGGGTTCTCGTTTTTGAGGCCAGAGCGAAGGGAAGCTTGGAAAGCGGCGCTTGCGGAGGACGGTAAACTTCAGGTGTGGCAAACTCCTGCTGTCGTTTCCGTTTGGACGGGACTGTGCGAATCAACCCCTCCACACACGTGTTCACCCTCTGGACTTGGTCGGTCCTGATCACGACATTCGTTTAGAATACGGTTGAAGTTGTGGATGCGGTACGGCATGTTCTGAGTCCTTGGCGGTTTAGGGCGACAAAGCGGCACAGAGAGCCTCTATACTCGTCGCATCATGTCGGAATCCATTCACACCCGGCCATGTGAAAGATTCGTACCCCCTCAGCTGTGCTTCCGTGCAATTCTTATTGGTACTGCAGCGTGACTGCTCTGTATAGCTGGGAATAGGTTAGTACGGGTTAAACGTGCGCAAGTGCGTCGAGCAGTGCACGGGTAGTCAGGCAGGCACCCAACAGGACCTGCACATAAGCTTGACTCCTTGAGATGCAGCTCGCCAAGCGCCGCACAGCGCTTCACGCGTGGTGCGAGGCCGCCCAAACACCCGTCGTGAATTTGCACGGATGCGAGGCTCTTTTGGGTCACGCTACGGCCAGCGAGATAGAACCTAACCCCCCGTCTCCCATCTGCCTGGTGTCCTCGCGGCGGACGCTGACAGGCAGATATGGACAAGCAGCGTCCGTTCAGCAGAGCGTATCGTTCCTTCTACTCTGCGGGGAAAGCGGAAGGGGGGATCGTCGTACATCTTGGTTCGGGTGCCGCGGAGGGGGCTTCCCAGGGAAAGGGGGTGGGGGAGACGGGGGCTGGAGCAGGAGGAGGAGGGCCGGGCGATGTCGAGGGGGGGAGAGGGGGAGCCGCAGACGACATTTTTGAAGGTGGGGTGGGCGGCTGGCGTGTTCAACGTGGGAGCGACCTTCGTACAGTGTTTTACCGGAAGCACCATCGTTAGGAAGACTTCCCGTGCGCGACTTGGGGCAAGTGAACCTTGTACGTGCCTTAGTTTTCGAGATTTGTGCTTTTTTCCCACGTGAGCCTGGTTCGGTGTGATTTCTTGCCGCATTGAGGAGGATAGCGGCTGTTTATCTTTCTCCTTTCTCGACTGTACTGAAGAGTCTCCCTCGCCAAAGCACACGAAAGACACCAACCCACATCACGCGGTTGTGCTCGTGTCTGGTGTACTCCCGCGACTTGGAGCAGATGTGTTGAGCAAGGGCGTCTCGAGTTCGGGCGTGAAGGAGCCACCGGTGGTAGGGGAGGCAGACTTCGAAGCCTTGGATCGGCTAAAGGTGAATGGGGTCGAGATATTTGGTGTGGTCTCGTAATATTTCTGCTTGTCGGAGTCGCCACACGTGGCGACTTGACCTCAGTAACTTAGCGTCGAGCGTGCCTTAATTCAACGTTGCACTTGGAGATGTGCTGTATGCGGTCCACTCTGGATCGAATACTTAAGGTCGCACGACTAGCTTTAACCTTGCTATACATTCTGAGTGCGCGATGATTGTCGTCTGAAGTTATTATAGATTCACTATCCTGACACTTGAAATAGCGTCCAGTTTGACGTAGTACAAAATCATGTGATAAGGTATTCTTCGCCGTTCTTTTGCTCGCAAAATAAGGCACGAAGACCTTGCCGTACGATACCATTCCCCATCCATCGTTCCCCGTCGTCTTAACCCAGCAACTGCGCATGGGTGGGAAATCTTCCTGCTTCTCTCTAGCGACGTAATGGGATGTCGAAACCCGACGCCGTGCGCCATACACGTGTATGAAATGTCGCCCTATATCGCCTGGATAATCACTCCCTGCCCCTCGTGTGGTGAATAGTCTAGCCGCTAAGGCATGCGAAACATGAGTACTCCCCTCCCACCCCTCCTCTTCGACAATTCCTGTTTCGTGCGCCAATGACAACGCCAGGGGTCGTACCTCCGACTCGTGGCGAAGGATGTTCGAGCAAGAGTTAGCAAAGATCCGGACGTTTCCGCGGACAGGTTCCCCTGCATTACGTCCAAGATTATTTCGTAGATCTCTTGAGTTTCACAGCAAGCCAACAGCCTTTTCGCGAATCGTTGTGCATGTTCCGCTTGATGGTGGCTGTGCATGCATCCATGTTGTGTTTTGATTGTTTATTTGAAGCAATCAACAAAGCGCCAAATGGTGTTGCTTCTGCTTGCGTAGTTTTTTCTCCCCATGCGACGTTTGCCTGGCCAGCGGCCCAGTCTCCCCGCCACCGTTTGTACTGATTGTTTTCTGAGATGGCGCTTCAGCCACGTCAAGCTTCTTGCCTGGGCCGAGCAGGAAAATTCGTGTTGTTGGGCTATAGCCAATAGTTGGCAATTTGTCACACGGCAAGGGCGAGGGTAACGACGATGTATGTACCCTACAGTACCCATTCGTGGTATTCTTCTGGGCGAGGCTTCCTTTGAGACGCATGCCGGTATGAAACGTGGAATATTGGCGTGCAATTTGCACGTAATAGTCGCAAGAGACTCGCGGGCAAGATGTTGATGTAGGACTTCGTTATTTCGGTGTTCGTGTTTGAGAACATGCCGTCTGTGGATGATTTACTCGCTCCAATCCTTCCGTTTTTTGTACGATCTATTGATTGGTCAACGGTCAGATCGCACTGAATCTGGCTTAATTATGGCCCACGACTGAACCGCCTTCAGCCATAACCAAAACGTGCGGGACGAGCAAATGCGAAGCAGTTCTACGAAAGCAGCACATGGACCGTGTGGTGTTTGTGTTTGTCGCGGACTGAGAACGGTCGGTGGGCCAGCTGAGGCGCATACACGGTGGTGACAATCTCTCCAAACCACGTATTCGGCCCTAGCACTTGTTGATGGCCTCCAGAGACTACGGGCAAAACGACGCCTCATTCTTGCAACGGCGTGTTGGACGTAGATTCACCTGCCGTGTTGGCGTCTGTGATCATCCTTGATCCCTCAATAGAAGCGGGGGGGAATACCGAGGCGAAGTTCGTTCAAGTGTTCAGTAAGCAAGCAGTATCCATGTTGAAGTGATAACCCTCGCGTACGCTTTGACAATGTCTAGTCTATCTCTTTCCTTGCCGCTGTTCCGGGTGAAACAAGCGTTGGCGTGCACCAGGCTGACGGCTGCACTCAAAAAGTGATTTTTTGTTCATAAATTTTCCAACGCGCACGGCGATCGATCTTGAGCAGTCGGTTTTAGACAAGGTTGTTTTGGTCGGTGTAGAAGTGCTCAAGGTACGTATCACTTGGACATGACAGGTGCACGCGGGCGTGATACTACAGTAAAGGCGAGCCGCTATCCCTATTCTACCAGGCCAAACGTCTGTACTGTACATGAAGCCAGCTGAAAAAAAATCGCCCAGATGTGTGTGAATAACATCGAGGCAAGTCACGAAACCCTCACCCCAGCGATGGAAGTTACGGCCACTGTATCAGGGTGATGATCAAATGGAAACTACATTGCAATAGTTGTGGTGTTTTGAAGCGCAACGGTATTATCTAGCTAGTCTTGCCCGGAGCAAGAAGATTCCTACTCACCTATGATAGAAGTAATAGTTGTTGGCTGCGGGAATAGAACACCCCCCGGTGAAACCCCCCCCCGGTATTTACCATCGGGGTTGGGTTTTCGTCGCTTGGCAACGACGTTGTAAAACAAGCC